AGAAAAATATATGATGTAATTAGTCTCATGGAAAAGAACACTGGCAGGTTTTAAATTCATTTAGTATTCTCAGCAAGTCATACTAAACCTTGGTAATCAGACAATCTGTCATTCACATAGTAGTTTTATATTTGTAGCATGTTCCATGATAATATGTTATTCATGGCAATATCCCGAGAGGGAAAAGTTACAACAGGGAACTTTATCTCCCACTTTTTAGCCTTGAGGCCTCCATTATATCCCCCCTACCCCTAAAGCAACAAGCACTACAGTAAAAGCTGTATTTAGAGCAGTACAAAAGGAATTGCAACAATAGTGTGTTTCTGAAAATAGACCAGTGAACTTACCCAACCAGCAAAATTTAATGGTTGTATCACTGGCAAAATCAGATCCCTAGGGAGGAAGCCAAGACCATAAACAGAAATATGGAGCCCATATAATGAAGGAGAAATCACAATAGTCGCAGCTGTCCAACAAGGAAACTCACTGCCTTGAAAAATCTAAGCAACAGCACTGTGTGGTTGGAGTAGAGACAATATCACCATCAACTGAAGGAAGGGGGCATATTTATTCCTTGGGTTGGAATTGTGTAGGTTTTCAAAATGCAAAAGCATTGCTTTCTATGCTTGTTTCTTAAATTACCGCCTATACTATAAAGATTATAACTGAATATGTTCTAGTACATTTGATTTAGTAAAAAAGATGTTCTAAAATCATAAGGCTGTTTTGGCATGATTCTTGCTTATCAGAAATATGCCATCAATGAATGGTGTGTCCACAGGCTCTACTATTTAAATTATTTGACCAGGGCTCTTGTATTTTGACCTTCCTGAGGACATGAAACCTTAATGGATAAATGCTCATACAAAATGATTATGAAATTTTGAGGTGGTAATCCTAATTATATTCTACATGCATTTTTCTCAGACCTCACCAAGAAAATTACATCCCTGTTTCTAGTAAATTTATTTATGACAGTTCCCATCAATTATAAGATTATAAAACAGGTTAAAAAACTCTTTGACAAAAATAATACTTAAATAATGAGAAAAGACACAAGTGACCACTGACTCTAGGCTGAGGAAATCTGATTCAACTAATTTATTTGTGGCTTTGAGTTAAAAGACCCAGTGGAATCATAATTTTCGAACTGTATGATCACCCTCTAGTGGTCAGAATATACCATTTACTAAGCAGAATTTTAATGAGTTTATTTCACTGAAAAATGTTTGCTGTTTAAAAATAAGATATTGATACATTTTGTTGAATTTCTGCTAGATCAATGTTTTAATATTTCATAGAACATGCATATATGAATCCTGTACATTAATTGCTATCATTTATACTCAGATATACTCTGTGTATCTGCTAAGAAATCAATTTATGGAGTAAAACTCAACAAAATATTTGTTATTTGGTATGTCTTATTTTTTAAAAAGAGGAAGTATGTCATTTAATTTAATATTTACCTTTTTTGTATCTGAGCAAAATTATATTTCATGAACCTAGATACTCAGTTATAGAGTATGAAGAATTACCACCACAAGTCACATACTTAATCATCTGACTTCGCATGTAGCTGTATTCAAGTCATTTTAGAACAGTGTTAGCCCAGTAGAGTTTCCAGGGCTTCTTACCTTGGATCTGACATGAATATCTTTTCTCACAGATGGAGAATGAATAACGGAGATGTTGACCTGACAAGTGACCGATACAGTATGGTGGGAGGAAACCTTGTCATCAACAACCCTGACAAACAGAAAGATGCTGGAACGTACTACTGTTTGGCATCAAATAACTATGGGATGGTCAGAAGCACTGAAGCAATCCTGAGCTTTGGGTGTAAGTAGTTGTAACTTTAAAAAGGGTAGTTTTACTTGATGAATTGAGAATTAGATGTGTTTTAATTATTGATCAAAATCTATATAGACTGGAGGGCTAATTCTGTGATGATCAACTCTGTGGGCTTCTTTTATCCTCTTAAAATCCTTCTACTTGCTTCTCCCAGTAAAATCGGTCTCTTGCATCACCACTGCAACATCAGTACTGAATGCTTGCCAGTGGGTTATTGGAGAAGACATATTCCCACCACCCACACAGATTGGCAGGATGTAGTTGGTGACACAGGTCAGACATGTTTAAAAATTTTCAATTGAAATGCAGAAATTCTAATGTGACCTTTGAGATAGTTATCATCAATAAGTGATACCTTAAGAATTCAGCAAGAAGAGAATCAAGAAGAAAGTATAGCAGAAGGAAGTCAACACAGAAAAGGTGGGTCTTTTATGATGAATGGAGTTTAATTGTGTGGTGAAGAAAAAAATTCAGGAGACCAAATAATCACACAGGGTGTTTTAAGTGTACTTAAGATTGTGAAAGATAATTTTGTAAAATAAACTGAGGCCATATTGTGAAGGCTCTTACATATCTCGAAAAGTTAGTATCACTGGAAGTGCTAAGCCATACATTAGTACCTCCAAGGGAGTACAAACTGGTTCTTAGGAATAGGAAATGTCTTAAGCATTACAATATTATGGTTTGTGGCTTTCCATTGCTCAACCCTACCCGACAATATCTTATTCCTCAATATTTAAATTCTCTTCATAGGAATGATTAACATTATATTTTAAGCTTAAATTAAATAAAAGTTTTCACCTTGAGAAAAGCAATAATTAAAAACATTTTGAGAAATACTGTGTTAAACTAAAGTTAGAGGTTGTTTTCATTGTACATTAGGAGATGAATTTAACCAGATGATTTTATAAGCTAGCACTTCTATCTATTACAAAATGGTTATAAGATAAGAATAATATGTTAAGAAATGCTGCATGGCAGTGACCACCAGAAGGGATTCAGACAGGATCAGAAAGAACAGTAAAATTAAATTAGTGTGATGAAAGAGAAATGGAAATAATAAATACTAATCTTGATAAATAATTAACAGGTTACAGTGCACAGAAGGAAAGAAGACATTAAATATTAAGAAAAGTTCAGTGAAAGGGCAGATACATTCTGTGCTTGTTAAAAGTGGAATGGGAGGGAAAAAAACCCACTTTCAGAGATTGGAGGAAGCATTGGATGGTTGTTTCATATGCAGAGTTTGTTGTAATATGATGTTACCCAAATTGAGATGGCAAATAAGCAATTGAAGATAGGGCTGGCATTCAAGTGAGACATCAGGACTGGAGATGTCAATGTGAATATTTCTTTGTATAAAGATAAAAATCAGAATACACTGATTTTCAGAAATAGGTAATATAGTAAGGGAAGTAAAAGATATAATTTGGGGGCAGATCATAGATGAGGACCAGAAGGACAGGCAGGACTGAAACAGAATGAGTATCAGCAAAACAAATGAAGAATTAAAGGGCTCAGGATCTATGAATAAAGCAAAACAAGAGCTCCAAATACATAGAAAAGAGTAAAGGAAATTACAATCTAGACAACCCAGAATTTGAAAAGGTCACATTCACCTTCTCAATGAATATTCTGCCTTTTGCTCTCATTCCTTTCAATATCTAAATCCTCCTTCTGGTAGAGAAATATAAACCTTCAAATGAGTCCATTCCTCTAAGCATGCCTCTTTACTTACTTTATTAGTTAGATCTCTGATTTGACCTTTCCCAATTTACTTCCTTATTGAGATTTTCCTTAAATCTGAAACAAAAGTTCATAGGATATTTATGATCTTCAGAGTTGTCAGACTTCTTACAAAGGCTGCTATAGGTATCCATAGGTTCTGCACTCATGACAGAACTCTTAGGTGGTGTGTGTAAATTCTGGCATGTGCAAATGAGGAACATTGTATCTCAAGTGACAGTTAACAGTTACAGAAAGGTAATATTTAATGAATATCTCTCTTTCTCTTGACCAGAAAGTGAATGATTTCCTTTTCCTTGTTTATAATTAGATCTGGATCCTTTCCCACCCGAGGAACGCCCTGAGGTCAGAGTGAAAGAAGGAAAAGGAATGGTACTTCTCTGTGACCCCCCATACCATTTTCCAGGTAAATTTAGTGTCTCCGTGTCTATAAGCACCTATGAAATGAATGGCAGGTTTCCATTTGTCTAGTAGTAATGATACATTTACTAATAGTCTAATTAACTCAATAATCATGGCTCATCATTAATTAAATGAGACGCAATGTTTGCATACATTTTTGTAATACATCACTTTATAGTGGTTAGACACTTTCTTTATTGGTTCATTAGACACTTGATCATAGCACCAAAGATCTTTTATCATTTCAGTTTATAAACAGTATGTATGGTGCTTTGTTTTCTCATTAAAATTTCTGTTACATGGGTGAAATTATGAGATATTTTTTGAGAAATTATTCCTGAAATAGAACAGCACCAAGGCATGATAAAAAATCAATCATTTTCTTCATAATTTAACACCTAAAACATGCTGTTAACTGGAACTAAATACTAGAAATGGATAAAATGTAATAAATTATCAATCTCTTCAGGAATACTAAGATGCAAGAATAGTCATCATTTTAGAAAAGGGGCAAAATGAGTATCATTGGTTATGAGATTCAGCTGTGAATACATTTTCTATAATATTATATCAGTAAAGCAAAAGCCAGCAAAGCACTAACTAAATAAGAATGCTTCATGTACTTATTTTCATTTCTTTTATTTATTAAATCTCTCCTTGAGATGATACATAAAATTTTTCATAATAAAATAATGTTTTATATTATTTATGTCATAGTTTTTTTCTCATGAAACTCTCATCAACTATGTTTTTATTATTTATTATGAATATACATTCTTCAAAATAAATGATGCATAAATGTTAGATATTGAACATACTATCAAAAGTCATTCCCATATTTTTATTAGATCCAACAGTAGAAAATAAAGCATAAAGTGTATCACAAGATTTTTTATTTCCTTAAATTAACTATTTATGCTTTATTTTTAATCACAAATGATGTTACCTTATCTGTTATGTAATAATATTTTTCTTCAATTTGGTATGCTTTTCTTTTTTTTTTACTTGTACTCTTCTTTAATTTTTTTAGTTTTTATTCTAATTTGTTATATATGACAGATTCAAACTAAAAAGCTTCTTGTCAGCAAAGGAAACAATCAGTGAGGCTAATAGAGAGCCTACATCTTGGGAGCAAATTTTTACCCCTCAAACATCAGAGCACTAATCTAAAAAAGCTGACTAACTCAAAAAGCTAAACACCAAGAAAGCAAATAGCCCAATCAATAAATGGGCCAAGGAACTGAACAGGCACTTCTCAGAAGATATATACAATCAATCAACAAATATATACAAAAAAATGTTCAACATCTCTAGCAACTAGAGAAATGCGAATCAAAACTACTCTTAAGATTTCATCTCACTCCGTTCAGAATGGCAATTATTAAGAACACAAACAACAATAAGTGTTGGCGAGAATGTGGGGGAAAAGGCACATTCATACATTGCTGGTGGGACTGCAAATTGGTGCAGCCAATATTGAAAGCAGTATGGAGATTCTGGGAAGTATGGAGATTGTGGAAAGCTGGGAATGGAACCACCATTTGACCCAGCTATCCCACTCCTTGGTCAATATCCAAAGGACTCAAAAACTGCATACTACAGGGACACAGCCACATTGATGTTTATAGCAGCACAATTCACAACAGCTTAACTGTGGAACCAACCTAGATGAATGGATAAAGAAAATGTGGTATATATACACAATGGACTATTACTAAGCAATAAAAGAGAATAAAATCACGGCATTTGCAGGTAAATGGATGGAGTTAGGGAAGATAATGCTAAGTGAAGGTAGTCAATCCCCCAAAACCAAATGGTGAAAGTTTCTCTGATTTAAGGATGCTGATTCATAATGGGGTTGGGCGGGGGAGCAGGGAGAATTAGACGAACTCTAGATAGGGCAAAGGAGGCTGAGGGGAAGGGAAGGGACACAGGAGTAAAAATGATGGTGGAATGAGATGGATATCATTACCCTAAGTACATGTATGAAGACATGAATGGTGTGAATATACTTTGTGTACAAGCAGAGATATGAAAAATTGTGTTCAATATGTTTAATATGAATTTTAATGCATTCTGCCATTATATATAACAAATTTTGTCATAAATTTGACTCTAGACATCTCTGTAGAGAATAAAACATAACAGGCTGTTATAAATAATTTTGTGAGGACTATATCAACCTGAGGTAGGCATATGCATATATGCACATATGTACCTCACACAAAATTATACACACACACACACACACACACACATATATATATATAAACTATTATAAAAATACATATATAGAGATGATTACTTGAGAAATATAGAAGTAATATATGAAATTTAAAATGTATGAAAACCTTTCAATGACAGAATAGGCATTTTCTGTGAAAAATAATCTTCCTAGATTCATTGTCTTCCCCACAAACAAGGTAACAGTCATGAGCAGGCATGACTACATCTGAAATTCAATACTGAATAGGCATCATTCCTTCACTCATTGACTTAGCAAATCTCTTATGAGCACTCTCTACATAGCAGGCACTGCTATACCATAGTAACACCTCAGTTGAAGTAAAATAGAAAAGCTACCAGCTTTTCATAGACATTCTGCTGGGACAGACAGTAAGTAAGATGAAGAATTAAAAGATATGGCATGCTTTGTATTTTAGATACATATTAGGGGGAAACACATAATAGAGGGAAGGGGAGGAGAGGGAGTTTAGGGAATGATTGAACTTTTAGATTGGGCCTCACTGAGAAGAGAACTTTGAATAAATGCCTGAAGAAAATAAAAAAGCTAATGGTAAAAGTGTCTGAGAGAAGGACATTCCAGGCATATGTAGCAAGAAAGCCAGAGTGGTTCCATAGAGTGAATAAGATTGAAGGCAGCAAGAAATGGAATGAGAAACTAGAGCCCCATGGTGGATCCTGTCATTCATTGCAATTTCTTTGGCTTTTACTTTAACTGAGAATTGCACTGGAGGATTTTGAGCAAAGGAGTCATATAGCATTACTTTGGTTATGAAAAGATAACTTCATACTGGTAGAGAAAGATCAGAGGAATTAAATACAATGGCCCAAAGTGGTAGCAGTATAGATGGAAAGAAAATTCTGGATATATTCCAGATAAATTGATATATTTAATTGTATATTTAATTTTACATGTCCTTGAGTTAAATTCAGCATATATTTTGAGGAAGGAGACAAGAGGAATTAATAGTAGACTTTATGTGAAGTATATGAGAAATGCAGAAGTTAAGCATAGCTTCAAAAGTTCTGTCATGAGTTCCTGAATTGCCATTACTTATGCTGAAGGAATAGATATGGACACATTAAATGTGAGATGTCTATTAAACTTCCAAGTGGAAGTCATATTGTGAGCTTTATATGTGTGGAGCTCACAGGTGACATCTGAGTCAGAAATATCGATTTGTGATTTATCATCATATATTTTTAAAGCCTTTGGCTACATGTGATTACCTAGAAAATTAGCGTAGATAGAAAGTGGGAGGAAGATTTCCAAGGTATAAGCTGAGATTTACTTAAAGTAAGTTCTGATTTCAGTCTCTATGATTTCTTAACCACTGTGCTGAATGAGGAATTTCATGGACCAAAAAAATGGTTTGGAGAAACTTAACATTAATAAACCAAGAGAATCAATTACCTCTTTGATAAAGATGTATATACATATTTTGAAAAAAACAAAATCTAAAACTAAGCTGTTTTTAAATGAGTCTAAGAAGATCGTTAATCACAGAATAAAATCTGAGTAGCTCTTCATCTCCTATTAATTTGATATACAACTTATTTTTTTATTATTAGCAGCTATATGATATCTTTGAACATTGCACATAGTACTGTCAACCGTATATACTATCTCTATGCCATAAATCTTCTTTCCTCCTTAATGCAGTTAAATTGAAGTTTTGTGCTTTGAATCTTAGAAATTTATTGAACTGAGTGTGCAAAGGAATCTGTTGTTGGGTTTTGAATATCTAAGAATATTATACATGGCATTATTTATAGTTCTAAAGCCCTATTGTCCCAATGATAATCTGGGAATCAGTCTCACTGTCAGGTAAACTTTGTCATATCTATCTTACTTTTCTCATTTAAACTCAGGGGATAATAACTCCTGTGCCATTTCTTCCACGTAGCTTGTTTTGAGTTTCAAACTTAATAATGAATTTGAAAATGGTAAAATAGATATATAATTTCTATGGATTATTATCAAAGTAAACAAAATAATGTAAGTGTACTCAATATTTTGGGTCCATAATTATTATTCAGTAAATCTTACTACATTGAGGATTTGGGGCTTTTATTTATTTATTTTGTATCTTGTATTTTTTGCAGTGGTAGGGATTGAACCCAGGGTCTCATGCGTTTAGGCACTGTACCACTAAGCCTCATCCCTAGCCCAAGATTTTTAATGTATGACTGTAGAGATGTTATGTCTCATTTATAAGCAGGAAAAAAGATTCAAAAGGAAACATCTCATTTTCCTCTGAGTTTAGGTACTGTAGTTTTTCTAAGGGGAAATATTTGATCAGAACTATGCTACCTATTTATTAAGAACAATCACAAATGTGCATTTCAGAATAAATACTTATTCGATTTTATAATAATATTTGATATACAACTGATTTTTAATGCCTAGCACAAAATAAGTGCTTAAAGAATATTTGAGGAATGAGTGGGTAAGAGAATGAAAGAGAAAATTAATTTGTTCATTAACTTGACTATATATAGGAGTTAAGATTCATATGAAACTAAACTTGTCTAGATTTTATTTTAGATAATTAATTCATAAATGCATGAGTTTTTAAAACTCCTAGACTCTTGAAAATTAAAATTCAATATTTTATTTCTAGTCTATTTTATGTCAATATAATTATCAAAAACGGTTTAAGTGTATCTCATAAAATATAAACCATATCTTTGTATTTTTAGAGAGTGAGAATAGGGAGAAAAATAAAAAGGCCATCAATTGAAAGGTGAGTTCTATTGATAAAATATAAAATACCTAACAATAGTTTTATAGACGAATTAAAAAACTGGAAAAGGAAATGGGAATATACTTATGAAAAATAATTCCTGCTATGTTGAATATGATTATGAAGGAATCTCAACAGACTAATAAAGCTCAGCACAAAAATAAACAAGAGCCAGAGAGCAGGGTAGGAAATATATTAACTCATAATGTGTATAAGTTGGTATAAATTTCTTTCTAAACATGTTTAACATACAATTTGCTATGTTGAAGCACTAATCAGAAGCTCTGGTGATTTTGTTGGTGTAGGTAAACTATGCTGTCAAGGCTAGTTTTTATAAAAGCATGAAAATATTCTGAAAATGTTTGCAAATTACTCCTCCAGGGCACACAAAAGTACTTCAAGTGTGTTTCGAGGAGAAAGATACATTATTCAGCAAGGCTAAATAAGTGATGCAGTTCAAAGTAATACAATGAAAGTAGCTAAATGCACTACAGTTGTCCAAAACAAAATTTTCCTTATAATATGTATGGTTCAGACTCTCCTGGGGCAATGGTTAGAAATCTTTTTTATCTGTGGATAAAAGCAACATTTTAAAACATGTGCTGGCACTTACTCTTACTGAAAAATTAATTTTATGGTTAATTATTGTTTAATCCAGTCTATAGTGGTAGGAGAAAAACAGGCAATGGCTTTTTCAAAGATGGTTGATTTAATCAACTGCATGGAGGAAGGAAATGGCAAGGAAATATACAGAAAAAAAGATAATCCATTGAATCTTTGTGAAAACTAGATTAGGATTTAGCTCTTAATTGCTGAAATCATCTCATTGTTAAGTCAGGGAAATAGGGCACTTATGAGTATGGTCATGGCACAGTTTGGTTTGGTGATGGTGGGCAAGGAAGAAGGTGAATATATTGGTTCTGGCTCCTTCTTGCTGTATGGATTTTGGGAAATCACTTAACCTAGCAAGGCCTTTGCTCCTCTGTATAATAATGGGAGAAGACTTCTTCTTTTGTTGTAATGACAATTGGTATCTTCTGACACATTGCAGTTATTATTTTTGTCTAAGTGAATGTCCTCGTCATTAGGTCAAAATTTGTTAGTTGAATTTAGATTATATTACAAGTCCCACAAGAGCAAAGACCAAATCTATATTGTTTAATGGTACATCGGAGATCCTCAGTTTGTACAGTAAGCAAATTAGAGAATGTACACCTACATTCTAATCTAATTAGAATCTGAATTTCTAATTATACTCTTCCTAGCAGCCACTGTCTTCCCTTGGACAATTTATATTAAAGGAAGTTATCATTTTGTGAACTAGAAGTATGCCTCATCCATAGTTTCATCATGTACTTTTGTTGAATGACTACTAGAGTTTTTCTTCATGGCAGAAATAGAAAATGAATGGCAAAGCAACAAATTAAGAAGGACATTCCATTTTTGATCTGTCTGGTATGATCCAAATTAAGAAGGACATTTCGTTTTTGATCTGTCTGGTATGATCAGCCAATGAAATTTCTGTGGCTGAGTAACCATATGATACATTTCCTAATATTTAAAAAACTAATAACATTCCATTCTGTTTTTACTTTTTAATATGACCACAACAGGTTATGTAAACTCATTTCTAAATCCACAATTTGAAATAGGAATACAGAAAGAAATAAAGATACAAAGCCATAGTATGTTAAGTCATTTTGAACTTATTTACAAAATACAGTAGGGCAGACAGATTGTGGACTTTGGAATTATTAAACCTGTATTGAAGTCCTAATTGTACTTAGTGGTCATTAATTTACTAACCAAGTTTTTTAACTTGAGTTTCACTTAAACATATCAATGAAATGGAAATAAAAATGCCAATAGTTTTTACATTAATATAGATAGATAAATAAATGTAATTACTTAATACTTTGCTTATATTCATGAAAAATGATAGCTATTGAAAAATTTGCACTGTTTGTCTTGGTTCTCTTCTAACATTTGCTCTACCATAGCCTCTAATAGATTATTTGACAGCTTGTGATTAGAAAAACAGAATCTTTGCTTTTGGAGGAGAGCTTAATATTTAGTAGACAATATTTTCTTCTAGATGATCTTAGCTACCGCTGGCTTCTAAATGAATTTCCTGTATTTATCACAATGGATAAACGAAGGTTTGTGTCTCAGACAAATGGCAATCTCTACATTGCAAACGTTGAGGCATCTGACAAAGGCAATTATTCCTGCTTTGTATCCAGTCCTTCAATTACAAAGAGTGTGTTCAGCAAATTTATCCCACTCATTCCAATACCTGAACGTAAGTATTTTATTTAATGCACTGTTTTTGCAAGGTTGTCTGCTATGGCATACCTGTACTAAAAAGAAGAACAACTCTTCAGCGGGGAGGCCAGCCTACTTCTTAGGTGGGGTAATACAAAAGACAGGCATCTAAGTGGGGTGAAAAGCTTAATTCTTTGAGTTGTGATTTACCTAATAGAGCTTCCCTAAGATGGTTGAGTTCAGGTTAGCTTTCTATAGCTTAGGACTGATTCATTCCTCCAGTGCCAATTTATTGGTTGCAATAGGAGTTGCTGGCATCTGCATTTTGTTTTGTAGCCATTCCTACTTCTTTGTAAGTCCATGAAGAGACCAAATGATTAGATCTAAACAAACAATAGCAAGTACAGATGGGGGTGAGGGGTTGAAGAGCAGTTTTATTATTTTGATATTTTGAAGGAAATATTTACATGATGCCAATAAGTAAATAAATAGCCTTTCCTGCTCTAATTCACATGGGGTGCTATGGATAGGTTCTTAGTGAACTAACTCTCTTTTAAAATTCACTGCTATTTAAGATAATCAGATCAAACTATATTTGCTTTTTTACCTTGCTTTTTTATCCCAGTCCTGCTGCTACATTAATATCAGTGATTTACAGCACCAGAGGAAACACCAGCATAGGAGTTGACAGACAGCTTTGGTTCTTGTCTCTTCCAGAATACAGTGTGACAATGGGGAAAATGCCATAATGCCACTGAGATGCCAGATTTCTCTCTGTAAAGAAAGAGTGACATAATTAGTATTCAGTACATGTTGTTGACTTTCTGGCACATTTTTTCTTCTTAGTCTTAGATACTCTCACTTCTTACTTCAGAGAGATAAAGAAACCATTGTGCAAAAATTCCCTGGATCATTCTTTCTACTCTCCCCAAGAAATATACTTGGCACTTCAACACTTCGGTTCCTTTTCTTACTTCCTGTCTCTGTGGAAGAAATATTTCTCCTCCTGCTCAAACTGATTCCTCCTGTTTTTCTGGTTCACATCCCATTTGATTCAGTTGATTCAATCACTTTTTTACTTTCTCTTATGATCTTCAAAATGTTCTCTTCCTCATTCCCTCTGTATGTTCTTTGCATTCAAAGCAAACAACCTTGAATAATCACAACTTCTTGTTTCTCAATTGAAGGATACTTTTCAGCCCTCATTCTGTTGGATCTCTGACACTTCTTTTCTACCTCTTATGAATATTCCCTTCTAATTTCCTGGACTCTTCATCTTCTACCTGTTGCTATGACAAATTTTGCCCAGTGTTTTTCACCAGAGATTCTTCCTTCTTATGTGTCTCCCCTGTCATTTCCTAGGTATTCTTAGCCACTTACACATTTTTAATTGCTGCCTTATGAAGATCTCTTTAAATTTATGCCCTGAACTTGTCCCACAAAAAGTTTTCAAGGAGGTTAAGTTCAAAGTGTTCAGAACACACCATTTTATTTTTCCTAATGCAAGGAAGCATTTCAACTCATCAATTCCTCTCTTTCTTTGATATTCAGAACAGCTAGTCCTTGGATCTTAATTAGTGTAAGCAATGGAGAGTTTTGAGAAAAATGTGAAATGCAGAGATCCTGAATTAATAGGCCTGGGACATGACCCAGAAATTTCTAAGTTCACTGAACATTCTGGGTGATTTCTGATACATTGGCCTTTGATCTATACCTTAAGAAACATTGATCCAAGGAGAGTCCTCTTGATTCCACTGTTCAAATACAATTTTTGTCTGGTCTTTCTTTTCTGTTCTCACTGTTATATACCCCAGGTCTAGCCCTCACCTATTTCCCCAGAATTAATTAACCAACCTTCTTTAGATCTTTGTCTGTGCCTGCTATATTTATCCTTTCCAAGTTCCATCTTTTAAAACAGCCAAAAAGATCTTCTTTGTAAGCCAAAGGTAAGATCCATTCCTGCTCATGTTTGCATGGGTGGCGGAAATGGGGTTCCCCTCGGTGGAGTAGGCTGGCTGAGAAACAAAAGCTAAGAAAAATAGGACAATGAAAAAACCACAGGACACAGAAAGTAGTTTCAAAAGCAAGGGCAGGATGGGCAAGCTGATCAGATGGATGGAGCTTCTAGACTCTGGCAAAATGGAGCCTGTACCTGCTTTATTTATATTGGGAAACATCAAAGGCTCTCCATAGAATGTTCTTCACCAAAAAAGGTTACAGGTGGGCTGTACAGTTCTCTACAGGTTACACCCATCTCTGGAGCAAATATGAAGTATCTTCGTAATACAAAGGAGATAAAGCTCACATGCATTGGGCAATTTGTTGCTATGGGAGAGCCACAGATAGTTCGCAATGCCAAACCTAAATCTCTCTGGCTGCCATGTTAAAAGAAGATCCTCATGTAATTCATGGTAGCTTCCTGAAATCCATATTACTTCTGTTATAAGTCTCATTGATAGTTAGTGAGAAATCTCAAAAGTCTTTTTTCAGGCCTTTTACATTGTGGGATAAAGCTAGTCTTCATCTAAATATATTTTACCATGAGTTGAGTTTCCAGACCTTTGCACAGCCCTTATTTCCTGTTTGCCTTCATCTTTTTGGACACTTCTTTCATCCTTTCTCCATTTTTTTTCCTGGTCTTGCCTCTTTATTTTTCATTCTCTTCTCCCCATTCTTTCCCATTTCCTATCTTCTTTTTCTTCCTTTCTGATTCTTGTACACCATGGATCATGATGTTTTATACATATTTGATGCTCCTTAATAACTCCTTGAATTTTTGAAGTGAATTGAGTCAGATTGATTATATAGGGCTCATAATGAGTTCATGTTAACTGAAAATGCTTGATGAACTTCATATTTTCATGTACTGAATAAAAATAAACAAGTCTATATAGTGTGACATGATCAGTGCCTGTATGGAGAAAAGCTTTCCATACTGAAGTAGTTCTAAACCTACAAAAGTCACAATGTTAAATAAAATCACTATTGTGTTTAATAATTCACTGATATTTGTTTCTTTTAATATTAGGAACAACAAAACCATATCCTGCTGATATTGTAGTTCAGTTCAAGGACATATATGCATTGATGGGTCAAAATGTGACTTTAGAGTGTTTTGCACTTGGGAAGTAAGTATACTTTGCATTAATATGTATAGAAAAATATTAGTTTTTGTACCCTTTCAAGAAAAAAATAATGTAAATATTTAACTATAACCACAAATGTCTTTTAAGTGTTGTGGATTTTTAGCTCTTGTATCTTTTAATTTAAAGTCCTGTTCCTGATATCCGATGGCGGAAGGTTCTAGAACCAATGCCAAGCACTGCTGAGATCAGCACCTCTGGAGCTGTCCTCAAGATCTTCAATATTCAGCTAGAAGATGAAGGCATATATGAATGTGAGGCTGAGAATATTAGAGGAAAGGATAAACACCAAGCAAGAATTTACGTTCAAGGTGAATATTTTAATTTTCTATAAATTTAATTAATATTTTATTCAGAGACATTTTCTTTACTATATATTGATTAGTAGTTTTAAAAACAGTCATATATATTACATTATGCATAAATCTTAAATATTTATCTCATGTCTAGTTAAGTCACAACTGAGTTATAGAAGTTATAAATTTATACCTTTAGCATCATTGTTAATAGATTGATATAGTAGTGTTCGTGGTGATTTTCACTTTCATTAATTTAATTTCAGTTTATGTAGCTCATTTACTCTTTTCAACATTCTTTTTTATTCAGTACTTTTTATTTATAGAAGAATCTATGTATTGTGACTTAGTTTGATTCAGTGGTTTGCAAACTTTTGCATGTATCAACATCACTCAGAGAGGGGGGGCTTGTTAAAACACAGATTTCTGGGCCCCATCCTCAGGATTTCTGACTCAGAAAGTCTATTTTAGGCTTGAGAATTTGTACTTGTAACAAGTTCCCAGAAGATGGTGATGCTGATAATCCTAGAGTCACACTTTGACAAATACTGATGTAAGGAATCATTTTTCTTTGACAAAATTATTTCGGCAAAAGTTTTCCAATCTCACACATTAAAATAAACTCATATTTTTCAGGCAACACTTGAAACTTTTCAGGATGAAATCATTTTTGTAATATTCCATTATATAGAATAAGCATCTAAGGCTTCAACAAGATCCTTCATTTTCAACTTTGGCTAGTGCTCCACTTCTTCTACTCTCCCCCAAAATATAACAAAAATCTTAACAGAATTATTTAAACTCTAAAGATGTTGTCTCCACCTCCAATTTTCACTTCTCTTCAGTGCACTCCAATTTGATTTTCAACTACAACATTCTGCTGAAACTTTACTTTTTATAATCATTGATCACATCCATGTTGTTAAAGCTGATAATCAATTTTCCTTTGTCCCTTATTAGATGGGCCACACTGGCACCCTCCCATCTCCATGATTCACTTTCTGTACTTGTCATCTGGAATACACACTTATCAACTTCCTCAAGTACCCCTCTCATTCTCCTTTGCCGTGTACTAACCTGGTGCCTTTCTAACATTGGTGTGACCATGGTTTAGTCTTTGCGTCTCTTCTCTATGTTCCTCATCCCTTTTATGATATTCTCCATGCTCTATACCCTGAGATCACTAACCCTGACATTTCTTCTGAACCACAGATTTTCATACCAAACGGACTACTAACACGAACTTGCACATATCAAATGTACATGAAGTGGCATTGTAAGTGGGGAGAAATTCTGGTTAGATCTCTTAAATTTTTATATAAAGCTACATTATTTTTACCAGTTTCCTAAAGTGTTTAGATATGTTTTTATTCAATACATTAAACCACCAGAAGAACTAAACAATTAAACCATGTACAGAATGTATCAAGTTGATTCACTTACTTATATTCTTCATTGTATTATGTAACATGACATCCATGTGTTACCTGTGTGAGGACAATGCAGGAAAGATGCTGGCATTCCTACTTCAAGTGTTGCTAAGATTGTGTACAAAATAAAACCTGTATCAATTTACATGATCATATCTACTAACATTCAACTTTTAAAAAATTATCTGTCTATATATGTTAGACAAATAAAATGGTTAATTAGAATGCATTAAATTATATTATATACAACATAAAAATTTATATAGATATATAAATTTATATAATGTTGATAGTTTGGTGAGATCATTAACTACTCTGTTTCTTAAATTAACATAAATGTTAAGTGTTTCTTATGAGATGTGTATATTACTTTTGTCAAAAATGAGTGAGTTTTAATTTTGCCACACACAATCAGAATTTTCTCCCCATACTTTTAAAAAGTTTACATCAGTTCATTTACATGCATCTAGGTGGATGACTTAGATAACTGACATACTCAATAAGACTATCAAATTGCTCCTGTGCTTGCTCTCTGGAGTTTTTTATTTTTCCTTCTTCTGGGAAATTTCTAGAATTTTTGCACTTTCCAAGTATATTTCGTCAACTGTTAAATAAATCAGATCAAATAAAGAGACTGAGATATATTTCACTGAGTCATAGGTTTTGCCAGTCATAGCGACTTTGTTTAGTTTCTAATATGGAAAGCACATCTCAGTAACCGGGCCACTTTTTAGTCCTACAATAGGGTATCACAATAGTCAACAGATGAAAACTCCAAAAGGAAGATAATGTATACTTGAGGTACTTAAAAAGAAAATCAAATCTTTATTCAGAAGGTGAAAATATGATGTCAAAATGAATTAATTAAGACATAAGTAATTGATACATAATTCTTTAAAAGCTCAATTTTCCTTTTAACAGATTTGAAAGATTTATATTGAAGGAAAAAAATCAATCTTATGTGAATTAGCTTTCCAACAAACATGCTTTACAAATAGAAAAAATAATTGCTAACTGAATTGCAGTTACCTCATGCTGGGATGATGTAGGATTTGTATAGAAGGCAGACTTGTGCAAATACAGTTTTGATAGCTCTAACACTGATTTTGGACACATGCCATATCTAATGTATTTTCCATAAGAATGTTAACAAATTGTAATATTTACACTCTTGTGATTACAATGGATATTTAATCTTGCACTTGACATTTAAAGTGTTCTTTGCTTTTTAGCATTTCCTGAGTGGGTAGAACATATCAATGACACAGAGGTGGACATTGGCAGTGATCTCTACTGGCCTTGTATAGCCACAGGGAAGCCCATCCCTACAATCCGGTGGCTGAAAAATGGATATGCGGTATGTATGTTCCAGCGTTGTGCTGTCTCTGAGTCCACATTTAAGCAACATTTCAGGGTAGTCCTGGGATAAATTTAGCAGAAGAGTCAGGAGAGTCAAAAGAGTAGGGGTAGTGGGCCCTGAAATATAAAAGCTTCATTAAAAAGAAAGAAAGAAAGAAAGAAACTGAATGTTACGTATCTTCTTTCAGTTTAAACAACTTTCTGTAATCTTATCTTTACCTTCTCTCTTTCTCTCTCTCTCTCCTTATTTTTCCTTTGTTCCACTTTTTTCCCTTCTTCCTACTCATCCATCTCCACTACCTGATATTGTCCCCTTTTTCTTGCCATTGTTTGCCTGAATCCCACAGAAACAGAGGTAAGAGAGACGCTCTTAAGTCCTACCTTTAGCCCTGGGGACAAGTAGCAGCAGTGGGATCCTTGTCTACTTTCCCACTGTATTCTCCCAGCTGGTCCAAGAGGGAAAAAGGTGGACTCTCGGCTCTGTAAGATGAGTAGAACAAGAGCCATTGGGCATGGTAAGTGGGTTTTTCCTCCCCAGGCCATGAAATTCCCACTCTTCACATCTTAGGTAATAGTGGGGGCAGATGAACATAACATAGCTGAATTAAAAGATATGCTCAATCCTAAATGAAAGCATTTCCATTGAAGTTTATGGAGACGGTGTGTTTTACTTTTATTCCTTTCAGTATCATAAAGGGGAACTGAGACTATATGATGTGACTTTTGAAAATGCTGGAATGTATCAGTGCATAGCTGAAAACACATATGGAGCCATTTATGCAAATGCTGAGTTGAAAATCTTGGGTCAGTATCATCTCTAATTTCTCTTCAGTGTTTATCATGAAAATGACAAATAAAGTATTCATAGGTTACATTTAATCTACATTATTTTCTCCAATTGCTTAACTCAATAATTTTTTGGAAATGTGGTTTAGAATGGAATGGTATTATCTTTGTTTTCACTGAAGACTAAGTGAAGAAGAATAAGTCTTTAAAGTTGTCTTATGTTTTTTGAAAATTCCCAGTGCATGTAAATTACTTCATAAATCGCATACTTTTTTAAACTAAGAAGCTGTACTCTTATCATTTTGAGAATTTATGGGGTGTAATGGGTTTTGAACATTTTTAAAATGGTAAAACAAAAATTACCTGTGCCACTTTTGACAAGTCTTGTCTCATAAGTCTGAGCAGCTAAACATTGGCCTGCAAATTCACCTAACAGCGAAGACTGACACTCCAGCACTGCCTAGAATCTAGCCTCAGATGAGTCTTTACCACTTTGGAGCTTTACCAGTCCCTGAGTCTCATGCTACAGTTGCTATTCCACACCTTTAGGCTATTCTGGAAGTCCCTTCCCCACCCGGATTTCTACTTTTATGGTGTTATTTTAGTTTCTGTGAAAATATAAATCCTTTGGCATAAAGTCTTTCAACTTGTCATCCACACTTAAAACTATCTCTGCACCGCCCCTGTCTTCTCAGTACTCTTCATCCAGAGAAGGAGATGTCTCTTCCATTCCTCTACTGATATTTTCATTGTTGTTTTTTGTTTGTTTGTTTTTTACTTTTCCTGTTATATTGTATCAGTAACTATTCCTTCTCTTATGTGTGTGCATGCATGTGTGTATATATGTTCTTTTAAGATATCTCTTCTAGTCATATTTTATTTTGGAACACTCATCTCTCTTGTCTTTGGTGACTTCCAGTTCTCAGAAGTCCAAGACTATTTCTTCTCCATCTCTTTCACTGTTCTCTTTCTATCCCCTCCTCTGTCTGGATACAAATCTTGCCCTCTCCCAGAGTTCAATTCATCTGGCTCCATTCCATTTCCTTCCTGTATCTATTCACATAGTCTGTATAATTATTCATGGATAACTATTATTATTATTATTATTATTGAAATTCTTACTCAATTTCTTCTTCTCCCATTAATTATCATATCATTTCCATCTCTATCCCAGATACTTATTCTCAGCTTCAGACTCAATATAATTACTTTCTAGAAGAGATGTTCATCCAGATAACCCAATAGACAATTCAAAATCAGGAGTGTGAGTGTCTAAAACCGACTTCATTATTTACAGCCACATCTTCTATCCTCCAAGATTCTCTGTTCTAAAGGATGGTAGAGTCTTCCTGGTGCCTTTCCCACATCTGGTACATTCACCAAACTTCTCCAGTTCACACCAATAATCTCTCTCAGATCTTTCACATTTTCCTTATTTTCATTACAACCACTTTAACAAAGTTCTTACTGTGTCACATCCTTTTCACATCATTTGAAGGAGTTTACACAAGGCTTGTTCATACATTAAGTAATGAATCCATGTAGTCAGGCTTCCTCTTCTAGAATTGGTTAATTCATTAAGTAATGAATCCATGTAGTCAGGCTTCCTCTTCTAGAATTGGTTATTGAAAACATATAGAAATGACTCAATGTGGCCAATTTTATTCTTGCTACATCAAAAGGAAACTCTCAAAAACACGTGTAGAACTGCAGATTGAGTGAATCTAGAAGACAATAAGAGATGAGAAAAATTTAGGAAAGTGTTAAGGAATATTCAAAAAAAGTTGAGGTGGCACTAATTTCAACTTTAACTGCCATTTATTATAATACTGAAGATAATACTCCATTTCTTCTTACCTAAAGTGTAAATTCCTTGGTAATATATTTAGTCTAGTTATGTTGTGTATCAAGCAAGCACTGCAGTTCAAATGTCTTTGGTGCAAAGGGGTATGAAATCATTTTGATGCTTAACAAAACAAATGAGGTGAGATTGATTCTTTCCCAAATGTAAACTTTCTGTTTTCTGCTGAAGTTATTATTTATCTTAAGATATTTTAAAAAGAAGTGTGAAAACTCACTAGATCAGACTGAATGATCTCTCTATATTCAAGCCTAAAGTCTTTAAAGCTTTTAATGACTATCAATATAGTAATTAAGCAAACTATTCACCCATTGAGTCTCACATAAATAGTTCCAGGACATCTTTATGTTAGTCTCAATTTATTATATTTTATACCTTTAGGAACAGTGCTTCTATCTCTGTCTTGCTCTTTTTCTTCCTGAATTATCCACTTAATTAATTTATTCTTCCACCAAATATTTATTGAGTGTCTACATCAGATACCATTCTTCTAAGAGAAGGTGCATGTGATACAATAAAGAACAAAAGATGGACTATGTGTCATACTTTCTATTTCTTAGTTAAGGAAAAATATTCCCTCATTCCTTCCTACTTCCAAAATGTGTAGAAATGTAGTCTAGATTCTATTTCTAGATATCAAAATATCAGATAAAATGAGGTCATTTTAGGGACTTCAATTCACTAAAAACTAACTTATAAATTTTCTTATTTTCTAGATGTACTTCAATTTAAGAAATATAATATTATTAAAATTTCTCTTATATTTTTTTCTGCTATATGTTACCCCCCCAAAATTAGTCTAAACAAAATACATCCAGATTAAAGGAACAATGAAATGGATTGAATCCTTGCATTAAAGGCATTGTCTCAGAAGCAGCAATACTTAGGAGCTTAGTAGAAGTACAGAATCTCAGGTCCACCTAGACTTAATGTAGATATTATAACAAGATCCTCAGATGATTTTGATACACAGATAAAGTTAGTGAATCACTGGACTAGATGAAGAGTCAAATTCCAACTAAAGGGCTGGAGTTGCAGCTCAGTGGTCTCAATGGTATAGTGCTTGCCTAGCATGAGTGAGGCACTGGGTTTGATCCTCAGCACCACATAAAAATGAATAAATAAAATAAAGGTATTGTGTCCATCTACAACTAAAAAGAAAATTAAAAAAAATTTCAGCTAAAGTTATACATAATCCAAGAAAGGCTCTAGAAAAGCTGGGGTACAAATGACTAGAGTGTGGATAAATGATGTCCCCCTGCAATCTGCCTAAAGATAAGGGGAGTGAGCACTGGACAAGATGTGGGGACTCATGAATGGGGTCCCTTTTCCCACAGCTCTTTGTATATAGGTCACTAAGTCAGGAATTGCTCTGTTTATTTGGGCATCTTGCAGTATGTCTGCACACAGTGCTTGGCAAATATCTAATGAGGGAAGGGTGATATTGTTTCATGAAATCAGCATGCTTTGGAAATAGGAGGGCCTAGATTCAAATATGAATCCCATCAATATACTTCCTATGGCAGCTTTGTGAAATTAACATATTTCCAATAGATTTCAGTTCTCTTATGTATAACTTCTGCATAGTTCATTTAAGGCATTGTTGAGAGATCTATTATGACCATATGGGAATGTTTACAGGCTTACTTCCCTCCAGCCTTTTACTTCACCTCCTTTTTGGAAATGAATCAAAACAATTGAATTAGAGGTTACTTTGTGTTGAATTCGTGTACTACATTTGATTGTAACTAAAGTTTATAACCCATGTATTATGTATTTATAAGCAAGGCTTCAGAATTCTATATTTGAATTGGGTAAAGTTTATAATATGTAGAAATTATTAAATAAAAGAAAAGTATTAGGTCTGGATCATAATTTACTGAGATTAACCTTTCTTCTAATCAAAATGGAATAGAAGTGATGTAATACAAAAGAAATATTGGGATTCGTTAACAAGAGAAAAATAATTGTTTGTTTTTCTTTCAGCTTTGGCTCCAACTTTTGAAATGAATCCTATGAAGAAAAAGATCCTGGCTGCTAAGGGAGGAAGGGTTATAATTGAATGCAAACCTAAAGCAGCACCTAAACCAAAGTTCTCCTGGAGTAAAGGAACAGAGTGGCTTGTCAACAGTAGCAGGTCAGTTTGGAAACTAGAAGTATAATTCAAGTTGATTATTTGGGAAAGTTTATTCTGTAGAATATTTGTTTTCATTTCACTAATACAATTGTTGTTTCTTCCAACTTTTCTCTTTACTATAGTAATGAGATGAACAGAATTTAATTTTCAGTATTACAAAATTTATAAGGCATTTAGGACTTCAAAGCTCAGAGGTGCAGGTTGCTGTTTGTAAATTGCCCCAGACTACTCAGCTAATAAACAGTGGGAAATTAAATAGGATCTCTCCAACTCATTGTTTTTCCAATCAAGGGCATTTATTCACATTTTATATAATTTTGTACAATTAGCCTATTAAATATGTTGATAAGAATATAAAATGGTGATTTCAAAGTATAAGCATGTCTTCCCATCTTCTTATAATGAGCAGGATATTCTTATCATATCTCCAGTAAGCAGACCAGCTACCAATGTTTTGGTGGTTTTGGTTCAAGACAAAGAAAGCCGAGGGTGACCGTTAACTTAAAACCATCATTGAATCGTTTCTGTAGGCTTCCTAGAAGAGGTTACATTTATACTGAGTTCTAATGAGAGAGAGAAAGCTAGGATGGGAAATAGAAAGAATGAGAAGTGGGGGTGGGGTGGGGCTATGTTCCAGAAAATGAAGGCAGCATAGCAAAGGTCCTGAAGCAGGAATATAGGGTGTGTAAGGAACTGTAGGAATGGCATAATTTGTCTTTAGGGAAAAAAATGCAGAAGGCTTTTAAGGGATAAGACATAGTGAGCTAGTTAACAAATGTAGAATTGTCTTTGCTAAGGGGATTGGGTTTCATGTAAGAATAATGGAAATCTGTCTAAAGCCTTAAAAAAGGGAGGAATGAGATACTATTTTGCCTTTTGAAAGAATATTCTGGCAAAAGTATAGAAAATAAATCTCCATAACAATCCAACAAAGTAATACGATGGATGTGCTAAGGCCTGAAAAAGTTAACTGATCTCATCACAACTCATCATTAATATCCAAACTGGAATTTGAACTGGTGTCATGTTGACATGGAAAGAGGATTTGCTGCTGCAGTTATTTTGTTAGGATGATCCCACATATGACTATGTAGAGGGGCAGGGAGCAGGGCAGGAATATCTGGGCCTTATCTGAACATACTAACTTTTGTTTTTTACTTTATTTTTATTTATAAAAACAGCCAGCCCACAAGCCATAGTTTACAGACTTGATTTTTGCCACATTCCTTGGTGCATTATAGTTGTACATAATAATAGGATTTGTTGTTACATATTGTAAGGGTCTGGCGAAGCGTCGGAGGAATAGACCACAAGAGACCGTCTTCATGCAATTGGCAGTAGGGGTTTTATTGATTCAGCATGCTGAGGCTCCAGGCTCACTCAGGAAGATAGAGCTGCCCAGAGCCCAGAGCAGAGGTCAAGCAGAGGTTAAGTACACTTTTGGGGGAGGGCAGGGGGCTTTGCATACATCAGAACAAATCGTCATGAGGCGCGAGAAAATTGAACAACAACTCTGAGACATGATTAGTACATTCATTGGTGGGAACAGGCTGGGCAGGGGTGATTGGTCACTTCTAAGCAGGGTACACATTCAAACTGATTGGTTTTAGGGCCTACATAACTACGTGACAAACTACACAGAATCCCAGGTTATTAGACAACCAGTGGAAACAGTGGAAATATTTACTGGGCAGTTCCAGTATTGTCCTAACAGCTACAGGGATTACAGGTTCTGGGGGTAGCAGAGGAATTTTAACAATACCTGGTCTTTTACTTTTTAACCCAGGCCTTGCAGCTTGGAAACTTTATAATGCCCGGTCTTTTACACTTTAACTCAGGCTTTAGGGCTTAGAATCAGCTTAGAAATTTTACCTTTACAATATGAGTTCATGTCCTCAACATAACAAGATAATTTGGTCAATACCCCTTCCCAGCACTTTTCCCTCCTCCCACACCCTGGTCCCTTTCTTCTAGTCTACTGATCTCCTTTTGCTTTTAATGAGATCCTACCTCACCTTTCTTTTCCTTTTTCCTCTCCGTCTTCCGTATCTGAGTAAAAACAAAGGAACTTTGAACTTTTCTGAATTGGGATTATTTCGCTTAGCATAGTGGTCACTAGTTCCATCCATTTTCCTATAAATGACATAATTTTATTTTTCTTTGTGACTGAATAAAACTCCATTGTGCATATAGACTACATTTTCTTTATCCCTTCATCTGTTGATAAACACCTAGGCTGCTTCCATACTTTGGTTAATGTGAATTGGGAATGCATTAATGTTAATCTGTTTGACCTGAGTCTTTAGGACTTTAACAAAATGACATGAGAAGAATTAATGATAAAGGAAGAGTCATTGTGCTCAATTTGCCCTCTTGTCGGGTGCTCACTCCTGTAGCACCTATAGTGTACATTCCCCATTGGCCCATCATCAACTCTCTTTCCTTACAGACAGATTCTTGCTCCAGTTTTATGAAGACCAGTGTCATGAGTTTCTCCAACCAAGGATTTCCCAGAACCATGTTTCATAAACTTGTTTTTCCTAAATAAAATACAAGAGAAGTAGAGAATGATCTAGCTCCTAAAATTTTATAATTTTGGCTGTGCTATAATAATTTCATAGACTTAGAAATCAAATTTCATTACTTCCTTAATGGGCCTAGAGTTAACTTTTTGCTCACTACTTTAATCCATTAATATTTCAGCATTAGTACCATGTTAAAAAATATGTAGTATTCACCGAACACATATGTTGAATGTAATAAAATTATATGTATACATAAAACTAAAAACATTTGTATTTATAAAAAATAAGCATAAACATATTGAAAAAGAATATCTAGAGATTAAACAGAATATAATTATATGTTATTCTGATAAATATAATTATAAAAGTTAATTTCATATAATGAAGTAATTTCTGTGCCCAGTTAGTGGCCTATAGGATGGTTAATATCTGTATTCTATAAGGGACAGTCATAAATTTTGACAAATTTTATTTAAGTTCTTACTTGTATAATTTTCTTTTGGGTTCTAATGGCATACAGAATTTCTTTTTAATTTACAACTAACTTAGTTATCCATTTGTATTTGATAGACTACTTTTAGCTCCAAAATGACCTTTATCTTTGTCACTTAAGTGGGAGGAACCCCACAATTATTTTCTGTTGCAGAATTGGTATGCTTTACCAATAAACAACCTCCAAATAGAGGTCATCCTGGAGTAATTTTGACAAAAATAAGTGACTAGTTTGTTAAAAGACTGGATTGTTCCTTGGTTATGTTGACTGATTCATAGCATATTACCTAGAAATAAGGAGAAGAACCTGAGAATTTAATCCCAATTGATTTAAGAATGAGCAATATTTGCCAAAAAATCAAAATTTCTAAATATTCTTACAAGTAATTTCAATGCTAAGGGAGAAGTTGGAAGTGTATCTAATCATGCTTCACTTAACATGGTGATTTCATTGTTATGTGAACATTGTTGTGTGCTTACACAAGCTGAGATGGTGTAGCCTATTGCTCCTACAGCCATGACGAATAAAACAATGCAAGATGAAATAAAGCACCAGAGAAAAATGGTACAATGAAGGGATGAATGAGTCTGCCAGTATAATATGCCATATCATTTTATAGTAAACTATGCTTTTTAATAAATAGGAGTAGACTCTAAAATAATAATAAAATATAATACAGTAAATATACCAATCAGTAGCACAATCACTTATTATGGTTACTATTAATCACTTTGCATAACTGTATGCACTACTCTTCTATAGAACTCAGAGTGCAGTAGCTTTATTTACACCAGCATCACCATAGACCTGTGAGCATTACCACATTGGCCTTGAAATTGCAATGGTTATGGCATCATGAGGTGATAGGAATTTTTCAAGCTTACTGGATCACTGTTTCATATGCCATCATTGATTGAAACATAATCTTGTAGTACTTGACTTTATACCCCTTAAAGAGCATTAAAAAAACAATTGTGAGCTAATATATGTAAGTAAACTAAAAATATTAGTATGAATCTTAGAAGGACTTGTAGTTTTTCCACTGTAACTTGACCAAAATATTTGTTGCTTTGCTTGAAAAAAAAAATGGGAAGAGTTAGAAGTTTGGCAAGGATTTATTACGGAGCTTAGAGGGAAAATGTATGGTGTGTTAATCTTGGTAATGTGGTAGTACACATTGTCCAAGAAGTAGGAGCTGGGGCAGGACTAGCTGTGTAAAGGATTTATTAATTGCAATATCTGGGAGGGGAAAGGAGGTTGGGTGGAAGACGGGGAGCCATCTGACTAGGGTGCAGTTCTGATACCAGGAGAGAGGGAAGGAAGAGGAAAGGCTAGGCTGAAGAGATCTTTACAGCACAACTCTCAGGAGTGCTCCAGCCAAATTCCCCTCAGAGGAGTTTAATGGAACAGGTCTCCTGTGCTGGTCCTCCCATGCTCAGTCACTGGCTGACAGCAGCCTGTGGGATGGGTGGCCTTAGCTAACCAGTGATGGAGTTCTGAGGGCAGTGTCTGGGCAACAGATTATAGTTACCTTCTCTCACA